TTTAATTTCTTAAATTCTGACAGAAAAAGGCTATCTCCTCTGTCTTCTGTCCTGTCCTTTCCTTTGTTATTTTTATTCCTGGTACTTTTACATTTCTTTCTCTCCCTTTTCTTCTTTCTCTCCCTTTGCAGGTCGGGCTGCGCTTTCCCTCCCTGCGTTTTCCTTTTTTGAGCTCTATATTCCTTTTTTCCACCTTTTACCGCGGTACCTCCCTTACTGCTTCTCTCTGAGCTTGCTTCTTGCAAGTCACTCAGTGCACTTTGGCTAGCTGCTACGCGCGGGCCTGAAGTCTCATCATACAGGCATTTCATGATAATAGGCCACAAAAAGTGCCGCAGCAGAATATTACCCATTTTTTGGAAGCAGGGGAGTTTTGGCCGTCCCACACGTCAGTTCTGAACTCACCTCTGTCGAGGTCGTCTCCGCTGGTGCCTCAAAGTTGTTTCAAGTCCCGGGTTTCGGCACCACTTGTAATGGCGTTGTCACCGCGCCCCACAGAAGGCCAAGATAGGCTGAAAGAGCAGAGGATTCAGAGATCAAGGCTGTAGCCACAGCACTACGAGTGTGGGTGCCAAGGTAGGGCAGAGAGTGGAAGTGAGGAAGAGTTTAGGGTGTCTGAATTTCTTGCCCGAGAGACTAGAATAATGGTGACACAACTGACTTGGATGGAAAAGCTTTAGGGGCAACTAAGTTTGGAGTTGGGATTTCAGGTGAAGGTAGGACATCTGAGGGATGATCAGGAGGCAGATGGGTTTGGCCTGGAGCTCCAAGACCACAGCCCAGGTGAGTGACCTGCACCTGAAGTGTAATTTAAGGGCTGTCTGCAGGGAGGGGAGCAGAGGGCAAGGTCTAAATCAGGAACCAAGTGGAGAATCACCTCATATCCCTTCGTGATCATGGAATTCAATGAAGGACAATGGTCAGGGGAAGGGGAGGACTGAGGGAATTCACTGTCTATGGTGATCTCATGACGGACTCTGAAGCAGGATTTGACTTTTAAAATAACTAAAAACCTTTTCAACAAGTTGGTCTCTCAAGCCAAAGCCAAAGGTCCTAAAATTGGCCATACATGAGTGTCAGCAGAGATGTGACAACTCTGTTCTCTGAGGAGGGAGATGTGTTCACACAGCAAACCATCCAAAGTGTGGTCTGTGTCCTCAGTGCTGAGGTCAGAAAATCGATATTCGTCAATTCTCCAATAACGTGAACCACGCTGCTCCAAAGGCTACCTCCATTTCGTGTCTCTGCGAAGGATGACGACGATGACAGTGGTGGGATGTGCGTGCACCAGTGCATATGGACACATGACACGTGCTCATAAGAGGACATCTCTTCTAGTGTACCAATGTGAACGTAAGAACAAATTACAATACCAACTCTAGGATTGTTCCATTCCTTCTTGCTCTTTTGGCTTCTCCGTTGCTGCCACTAAGCACACATCTTTGCAGGCGTGTCCGGATTATTATGGAATGATGAGAGGACAGAGAATGCACCAGTCCCTGCAGATTCTGGGATCAGAGCAAGTGGCAAACACAGCCACACTCTGCTCAGTCAATCCCTCATTACCATGAGGCAGCTCTACTCCCCTACCCACTACAAGTTGGGACAGATATGCAAATAAATATGTTCTTTCTGAAATCACCTCTGTTCATCCTCCACAAAGCAGTAGTGCCCCAGAGGGTGCAGCTGAGGAACAGAAATGGACTCCCTTCACACCGCTCCTGTCTGAGCACACGTCTCTACTTAGGCATGGAGAAGTAGGAGGCAGGTCCTTACGACACTGGTCCTTACACAGCCTGCTCTGGCAGTACTGATGTTAAGATTTATAAGAAGCCATTATCTATATATCTACAGGTATCCTAATATCTACAAACAAGTGTATGAGAGGGAAAACCTGACAAGTGTTCACCCTTCTTTGGCATCAAGCAATTTAGGCAAAAGTGTGTCTGCTATTGAATATAAACTAATTAAGCACATAGCCACTCAAACATTACGCTTAGCAAATGCATCTACTATTTGTTTTGCATCTGTGGTTTCTCTGAAAACAGAATTAAAAGAAGCCAAAACACACACTCAGCTACCTCTGAAAGCAGCTAGTCTTTCTAAAATGCTTAGAACACTCAGGACAATGCCATTACAGAGGTTGTTTGATGCTTCAAAATGACTTTTTGTTTAGGTTTTAAATAGTTTTATAAAGGTTTTGGAGCTGGACTGCCTGGGTTTGTAGCCTGGCTCTATTTCTCGTTAGCTGTGGGACCTTAGGCAAGGGGCTTCCCCCATCTGTGCCTCAATTTTCTCATCTGTAACTTGAGAATAATGATAGTACTTGCCCTGTAGTTACTAGAAGGATGAAATGTGTTAATATTTGTCAAGGGTTTAGACTGATGCAAGTCATACATGATCCATAAATGATACCTATTATTGGTATACTCAATTAAGCAGAAACCCACAAAAACACTTGAGAAGAACTTGATAAAATACTTTAAAAATAAGTTTATTATAACTAATGAATATAAAATTTGACAGATGTTTTCAAACATTTTTGCAAAAAAAGTAAGGCCCTCCCATCACCCCTCCCCACAAAATATAGAATAAAAACTTGAACAGATAAACAATACAAACCTAGCTATGAAATTCTCATTCATTGGTTGGTCCTAAAAGGCCCCAACACATTATATTCTAAGTAATGGTCCATTAGGAAGTCAACAAACCACTTGACACTTGTAGTTTAACTTGCTTTCTACTGTCATTACGATGCTCATTCAAAATGCTTACGAACAAAAACAGGTAACGTGTAAGAGTGCATGTCACCGAGATTCTGAGTGCATGAATGTATGAAACCACAAACATTCATAAGAATACTGTGCGTGGAATTAAACATTAACTTAAAAGTTGATGTAAAGAAATCTATGTACATTTTAGCCTTTGGCATCTGGTCTAACATGTTTCTTCTTTATATAGACTCAACTTCTTAAATCTATTAACCAGAATAAATTTATCTGAACACATTTCTCATTTGACACAGATTGTCCACAGCCAATTTCACGTGAGGTAGTTGGGCTGTTTAATGACATTCTAGTGAAATTCCAATGATACATGGGAATTACACATTAAACATGCCATGAAACTGGCTCATTAGCTTTCTAAGAAGCCACAGAATTACTTCTAGATCACCCTTCTTATCACCACTGACTCCAGATACACCTATAAATAAACACACATACATGGGAGTCTGTGTGGATGAGGTCAGCTTTGCAAAGGGCACCAACCAACAACCCAGGGAAGTTTCCGTTTGCAAGGTACAGGGAGGAAATACTGACCACACTTTAAAATACATGAAATATTTAAAACAAGCAGGATATTGTTCTTAGGTTCTCACATAGCTTAGCTAAAAACATTTGCTCACTCTGAAAGAGAAATGATTAATAAAGGGTAACCAAAGAATTTTGAAAATTTTTGCATTGCAGAGTAGTGGCATTTTTTTCTTTTTAATTAAAGGCTATACATAAACAGCAGAGGAGAAAGATCAATGCATGCGTCAACTGTACCAGAGAGGCACGTCAATGACTGTTTAATCATGCCCTGGAATGCCTGAATGCGGCAGTGCAACAGGAAATCATGCAAATGGCCACTGTACACAGGACAATTGACTGAGACAGGATGGGAATTGGTAACATTTACAGGGAAGGGTTAATAAACAGTATGTTTATGGAATTGTTGAAAGGACTCTAACAACCTTATAATAGATAAACAGTCTTAAAGTATCATTAGACAGTTGATAAAATTTTTTATGTCATTACTATGAAACCCCTGAGTAAGCAACTGCAGACTACAAAGGGACATACAGAAGTAGAACATATTCCTAAAGAAATCATTCTATATACATTTCACAGGGACACAAGTTTACCATACATACTGAAGTTTGTGTACAGACTATACACGATCACAAAGAGCATGGGAAGTTAGGCCCTCTCAGACCAAACACGTTAGCTGACAGAACAATGGCTTAAAATATATTTTACTTACTTAAAAATTCTACTTTTAAAATTTAAAAAATGTTGATAGTTTGCCTTAAGAAAAGTAATGAAACATGAGGGCGGGGGAGCTGAATAGTGGTAAAACCTATGACTAATATCAGAAGCAACTGGTTTTAATCAACGATTCAGAAATGCACCATTATGTAACCAAGTTCTTGTAGGACATGGAGGTTTATTAGGAAAAACACAAAAACTGTTTTCTTCCAGAAAGTTTCCAAAATGCCTCACATCATCATCCACTACTCATGACCCTCTAACTCTATTGCCTTATCTGACACTTTTTCATATATATGATGTTCACACTCACATTAGGTTTCCTTAATAAGAAACCCCTTACTTTAGTTCTCTTCCTTACTTCGAATTTAGTGAAGAAAAGAGTACTTTATTTATTAGTCCTTACCACATATTTCTCTTAATTAAAAACACTTTTCTGAAAGTATAAAGTTGAAAGCATTTTTGGAAATATATATGGAAGTAATAACCAAAAACAGAAGAGTGCAAATTTTTCTAGCAGCACTCCCCTAATAATAGATCACCCTCCCTAGGTGACACAAATCATGGTGTCCACCTGCTTTCCAGCTATAAATGGGAATAGAATCCCCATGGATTAGGAACTAGCCCCGGGCTAGGACAGTGCCAGATGCTCTACGTATGTGCTAGAAGCTGCTGCTGAGGCACGGGCAGAACAGATATCAAGTGCTGATGACAAAATCATTTCCACCTCATAGTTACAAGCTGGTTTTGCCCCCAAAAGACATCCCTCCAATTTAACATTTTTCGCCAGAATTAGCTACAACAAATTGATTTGCTTTCAAAGGACAAAAAACTTGCCATCACTGAAAGTATTTTGGCCAGTTCAACAAACATGCACTGATCCCTCCAAAGTATAAAGCCTGGCTTCTATCAGGGGGAGAAAAGCCAGCATGATGAAACTCTGTGCCCGAAGTGCCTTGTAATGGGTCAGCAAAATGCTACTTATTCACGTCTACTAATACTCAAAAGACACATTTCCTGTGTGTTCATGTTCTCCCTAAAGGTTACACTAGAAAAGGAATCCTAAAACTGTTTTGAGCAGTGAAAGCAAGGTGATTACTCTGTCAACAAACATACTAGAGTTTTCTCATCTCCTTTCACAAAGTGAAAGCAAGCTTAAGTGTCCCAGAAATATTGGAGGGTTATGGAGAAAAAGTTTTAAGCATCTTTTCTCACTGCTCCCTTCTTGGAAAGTAACTGCAAATCAGCACAAATTATGAATTTAAAATGGAGATGCAAATACTGTAGACCCAGGAGGAAGCTCTGATCATCCACCATTCAAGTCCAGTTGAATTTATTTTTTAACGTTAGGTTCAATTTCTAGTTATTTTTATTCAAGGATACTCAGTTTTACACACCTTAGCAAACTTTTACTCATCTGAGATATACTTAATATGCTCCAGTAAGGAAAATACCCATCAAAACACATTATTTTCTTTCTACAGGGCTGGAAAAGAGTGATTGGAAAATGTAACTTATTCAAGTTATTGCATCTGTCTGATCTGGGTTCCCAGTGATCCCAGATAATATTAATCCCCTCTTCCCCCAAGAATTGAGTCGTATATGCCTAGACAGTACCTATATAAATGCGAAATGGCCACAGTGAGCATCTTTCCTTTTGTGTGTGTACTTAGAGCCTCAGAATAAACCAGAGGTATTTGCAGAGAGCAATCTCCTCTCCAAGAGACCACAAGAGTTCACCTGCGGTGACAGGGAGCACCAGCAGTTGCTTAGACCAAGCCTGCTTCACAACACTCACAATCTCCTGGTAGCATCCCCTCTAAATGGCACAAGGCCTAAAGCATCTTCATTCAAAGTAAAAGCAAAGACTTGCTGCTTTTTCATGTTCCCTTTTAGAAGGCTACGTCAAGGGCAAGAGTCTAAATTATTTCTTAGTCCTGCCACCATGTTCATACCAGCCAGAGGAGGAGATCCACGCTAAGGACTCATGGGAGTGGGAGGAAAATAACCACACACCTTGGTAGCTGCCAACAGCAAATGCTAAAATACAAAATATCATTTTAGCAGCCCTTTCATCCCCCAGACTTAAAACACACGAGGTTGCTTTTCTAAGTTATAAGCATTTTCCAGAAGTCCTTATGTGGACAAATTACCTGCTTCATTAATTTAAGCTAAATAAATGCTCATCTGGTTAAAGACAGACGAAAGACAAAATCAATCTCCCTCCCTACATGAACCTCTCTGCCTAAAGAGAGGAGCTGCTCTGCCCCAGGGATCCGCAGGAGGAATAGCACCATCTAGAGCTGCTCAATTCACTCGAGCAGCTTCCACCCTGGGGAACTGCCTTATGCTGGAACTACTTACTCTTCTGTTACTATAGAAGGAAATAGCCTCTAATGGGGAAGGCACCCATGGCTTCTCTCCAGTGCACTCTACGCGGCTTATTCTACTGGGAGTAGAGGGCCAGAGCCTGGGCATCACACTGGGCAGAAGAAAACACACCCAACGTTGTTTTATGAAATACTTAAGCCCTATCTTTAACATCTGACACTGTCCCAAACCTTTTGAGGTTGATGAACAGCAGCATTTAGCTTGCTCTGCACTCTTGGTGATTATACCAAGATTGATCAGACTCAGAGCCGTGATCCCTAAAGCAATGCCAAAGCTGGGTCCCGATGCTGGTTCAATTACGAATGCTGCTGAGTAAACTTGCTCCACTTCTCACTCTCTATTTAGCTGTTTTACTTAAATAAATGACCTTTTCCTCTATGAAAAAAGGACATGTCATTTAGCTGTTGCAGAAGACTGGGAATTCGGTAAACCAGAATTTAATCTAGTGGCTCTTCAACACTGTGCAGGAGGGTTTATCCAAACGCAGATTCCTGAGTCCCACCCCCCAGATTCTGGTTCTTTGGGTCAGGGTAAGGCCTGGGAACCTGCTCTTTGAATACGCACTCCATGTGACTCTGATGCAGAGGTGGCTCAGGTCATACTTGGAAATCACCTAGCTCTCTACTTACAGATTATGTGACTGTGAGCACATCCCTTGACCTCTAAACCTTGCTTTTGAAGTGGTGTAATAACCCCTTTGAGTATCATGGTTTCCTTGCGATGTCCAGTTGAGATAATGCACGGGAAACATGCTGGCAAAGGGTAGGCACTAGCTAGGTGTCACCGCAAACGACCTGTCCCACTTCTCCCACACTGTCCTCCAACTTGGGTTTTGGGCACGCCACTGATCTACTCAGAGCCACGGTCCACTGCCTGTCAACACGCATGGCACTCCTTGTCCATGTCTTCTCCACCTCCCACAACTGCTTGGACATGCAAATGCTCTGAACATCTCTACCATACAGGCTCTTACTGCTGACAGAGCCACGGAGAAGAGGATCCACTGAAGAATGTCTCGGAATAGTAAACTCTACATCACAAAGGGTTCAACAAAGGGACTTACACTCCCTCCAAGTGTTTAGTCTAATTCTAAACTGGTTGAAATACTGGCTATGAACTATAGTCTTTGATACAGAATTTGCTCGTTTTCAGCTTGGGTTTGGGTGGTCCATTAAAACTAAAATCTATAAACAAAACAATACATAATAACAACAAATTCATTTGTCAAATCTGCTTATAACTTGCTGTTCAAGTGTGTAACAGCTATGATTTGGTTTCCAGTAGGCCCATTGAACTGAAATATATAGCACCTTGATCTTTAAACACACAAAACACATATGCATTAAAAAAATTATATATAAAAGCACTGGTTTTGCCGCCTCCTCTCCATCCTCCCAAGTGAAGGGGCTGGAGAGGATTGAGGCTGTTGCTGGAAATTAAGTAGGGCAACAAAACACTTTAGCAAACTTTATTCCCTGAAGTTAGGAGGTGCTGTCCTGCAGCTGTCATACCACCTCATCAGACTCCAGCCCGTGGACCTCGTATAAGGTGTCCAGTATGGCCAGCTGCTTTTCCATGGCAGGGAGGTAAAGGCTGAGGTCCCTCTGCATCCCAATACTGAAAGCTTCTTTCTGGTGGTCACCTTCCTTTATAGTCAACGCGGCCACAAAATCTTCATAGGATGGAGCTGCTCTCAGAGCTAACTGCAAAAGAATCACCCATGAGAATATGCATCTTGTCTCTCACACACTTACTCTCATGCACATGCTCAAGAACACACATGCACTCACGAGGAGCTGTGAGAGCAAGAATAAAGACACACAAATATCATTTCAATTTGTAGACTCTTTAAAATTATGTTCCAAGCCCAAATCAAATAACTTTAAGGCTAAAAGAAGCAAGGATGTACTCGAACCATCTTAAGGGTGAATAATGCCATCAAGTCAGGAAATGCTGAGAGAGAAAGAGTTTGAGAAAAGCTCCCTTCTGATCCACAATGTGATCCAGACTATTCTCTGAGTCTGCTGAATCAACCTGAATGCATGTTACCACCATAGTCTTTGTTTCCATGTGGCCAGCCTTCCAGAGCACTCCACTGTCCTGTTTATATCTCATCTCCATATACATTTCTCTGCCTATCCATTTTCTCCCACATGGATAATACTTCCCTTGAATCCTTGCATACTTTCTAGAAAAGAAGGGAGCTAACATTTGTTGTTTGCTTGTACACTGATGCTTTAACATATTTTATCCCAGTTAATCTTCATCAGAACCCTGTGTAGTTTACATCCCTATTTTACTTCATATAGCTAATGAGTTCCAGGGCCAGGATCTGAACTTAAGATCATCTCTGTGCTTTTCAATGAACCACCACATCATGCTGCTTCCTTAATGGAACATTTCCTAGGCTCCTTATCCTGCCCTTCCTTTGCAGGCCAATATTCCCTAAGCTTGCTAAAATATGCTGTCTGACATTCACTAGGTTAGCTCTGCTGAAATCTGTTTCTGGAGAATCTTGAATTATCATTCCACAGTTGCTTTCCTAATCTTCTGTATACTCTGAAAGTCTTTGAGAATCAGCCCTCCCCATTTCTGCAATAAGAGAATGACTGGCATTATCATGCAGTGGCTAAAGCACAAGCTAAGACGAAGTAGATCTGGACTTGGAACTCAGATCTTTCATATATTAACTTGAGAAATTTAAGCAAAGTGCTTAACCTCATAAAACCTCAGTTTCCTTATCTGCAGAAGAATACTAATACCATTTTCCTTATTTTAAGGATTAATGGGATATGTAGAAAGTATTTAGCCCACTGCCTGGCACATGATACTCAGATAATGGTAGGAGTAAAAGGGAGGAAAATAGAAAATGAAGAGAAGGCAGTTATCCAAAAACATAATGTGAGAAAACCTTCCAAAAGTGAAGGACAGGAGTCTCCAGATGTAACTAAGTGCTAACCAGACCTAACCAAGTGCTCAGCACAAGCAATGATAAAGACCAAAGGGCACGTCGTGAAGTTTCAGAATGTGGGGATAAGGACAAGATTCTAAAAACATTCCAAAGAGGACAAGGAACAGTTTATATGTAATGGAATAGGAATGGCTTAGATTTCACAATATTAACAGTGGAAGCTGGAGGATAATAGAGTAATGCCCTTGAAATTCTGAGGAAAAGTGATTATTAACCTAGAATTCTATACCCAGCCAAACCAGCACTCTAGGAAAAAAGGGTAAAACCAACAATAGAGTTCAATTATCTAGTCTGACTGAAGAGAAAACCGAAAAAGTCAAATAATGGCTACTTAATGGCAAGCTGGAGGCAGAGTCTGGACTGGGCATCAGTTCAATAGACTGTAACTGCTAGAGGATAAAAGTTCACAATTTGGCTGGTAAATGAGTCAAATTCCTTGGATATAAATGATGTTTGAGTGACTGAAATCAGTTAAAGTGAATCTGACTCCATAATTAGGACATTAGAAAACTCAACAGACCTTCTAAAGTAGGGATGACTTGGAGAATAATAGAGGGGACAAAAGGGCCAATCTAGATACAGACTTAACTCCTCTATTGATCGATCAGGCTGTTGCCAAGTGCTTGACATAAAATCCTACAGCTTTAAAAATTATTGGCAATAATATCTAAAGCTTTCAAAACGTTCTTACTCTATAACCTTCGGTATGTTACCTCATCTCTTTGTGTCTCAGGTTTGTCTGTAAGCAGGGAAAATAACAGAACCTATCTCAGAGTTATGAGATTCATAAATTTATGTGTGTCAAGCACTTAAAACTTGTAGTACATGGTAAGTGCTTAAAACTATAAGTTGTAATTGTAGTTCTTGGTATTAGACATAGCAATTCTATTTTAGGAACCTATTTTGAGGAAATAAGAGTTTTAGTAAAAAGTGCATGTAAACAGATACTGTTTTATTTCTAAACTTAGAAGCAGCTTAAATTTCTGATGAGAGGACTGGACAAATAAATTATGATACCATCGGACTAGGGAAATACTATGCAGTCACTAAAACTAGTGTTTTTTCAAAGACTCTTAGGTCATTTAAAAATGGTCATGATGGAATCTATTGGGGGGATACAAAATACAAGCTAAATGTAGAAAAAATTTAAATGTATATACAAAATAAAGATAATTATATACGTATACTATATACATATAGATATATAAACATAAACATCTATAAGCAGAAATATATATTTACCTACATATATGAAATTAAATAGAACAATATTTAAAAGAATATGTAAACATACAAAAATAAAAGCAAAGGAAGTAAAACACAAAAATGTTAAAAATAGAAAACATGGACAGTTTTAAATTTTTTCCCTTTATATTCTTCCATAATTTCTAAAATATTTTATAGTATAAATTACTATAAATTGGGGAAAAGGGCTATAAGTTAAAAAGTCATTTTAAAGATTCCCAGCGGAGTTTCCCAGCATACACCGTGAGACTCTGCCTTTTCATGGCCACATTTGACTAAGACTGACCTTTCTCTGGATAGAAGAATCACGAAGTATCACTGCTAATATAAAGGGGCCATCTACCCCTGCTATTCTATGCTTGTGCTCTTCCTAGCTCAACATACTGGGAGGGAGGAGGTGGTGGGTAACTGGAGCCAAAATACATGAATACAAACACTTTCACATTGAAAATAACTGGATAAAAAGAGATTTCTAGCCCTAGCCACTGGTATACCCCATACAGTTAATATTCAAAGACAAAATTACACTAATAAAAAAAAAAAATCAACTAAGACTTGAGAATTAAGAAGACTGAATACAATGGGCAGCAGAGGGAGCTATTAGCTTGAATTCATCACTTGAATGCATCATTTCCCCTGAATGGTACATATTTGGTGTAGCTGCTTCCTTCCAACTTTTGCACTGATATGCAAGCTTCTTACTACCTTATCAGAAAGACAACCATCTCTCAGGCAAATCTCTACAAGGTCATTGACACTGGATAGGGTAAAGCATACTCTTTTATTCATGTTTAATGATCTTTGCTAGTCTAGATGCTTTCTAGTATGGACAGTGCCACACACCAAAGGCCTATATATACATATATAAATGAAATAAGCAACATTGAGTTCTTTTCCTCAAAAAACAAAGCAGAAACACCATATACACAAAACCAACAGAACCAAGAGCAGAAGGATTACTTACTGCAAAAACTCCTCGAACTACCCAGCCATGGTGTTGCCGCAGTGTTTTACCATACGCGTTATCTTGAAAAGAAGAAAAACTCCATAAGGAACAACTTCGCTGGAATCTGATGTGCTCTTTGTATAATGTACTTTTTAATGTATGTAGTAGTATGGCCCTATTGGTATTTGGAACTGATGTAAAAAGTCAAATTATATAATTTGTACCCCAAAACTCTAAAATAAGAAAAAAGTCCACATGAATTTTTTTTTTTAAAAAAAAAGAAAAACAGATACATACACTCTTACCCTGGGTCAATATATCTAAACTTAAGATTATTACAGTGGGAAAAGTTCAATACATATAAACAAATAGTGAGGAAAGACTACTGAAACACTGAGACTAAATACAATCAGAAATACACTATTAAAAAATATAGAAATGCAGTTTTTTCAAATACTGTATGACCCTGAGCCAGTCCCTTTAGCTGCCCTTTCTAACCATCTGTTTCCCCTTTATAAAATGATCTCAAAGGTTCTTTCCAATGCTAATATTCTATTCTGGGATGTCAAATGTTTGTCCTGAATGTTCCTATGATCCTGGGTATACAGTATTAAAGCTATAAACTTTTAAAAATATTGTGGAATGGCTTGAAGTTATTAAGCTAAAGTAACTGGTGAGACCTATTAATAAATGTCACTCATGTTTTATACCTTAACTATAACAACCTACTATTTTTGTCCCAATGTGTTTTAAAATGAGATTTAAAAACGGAAATATAATAATTTTAATTACCAAAAAAAACCCCCCAAGAATAAGATGGATGTATGTGAGGGATATGTTCCTAAAGACTTTGAATAATTCAGTATGTGTCAAATTCAAGGCTGATTTTTGCACAGGAACAAATGCATTCTCAGGAGGTATAGATCTACATCACCATGTTAAGTTTTTATTTCAGTGCTCCATTTTATTTTCTAAGCATCATCTCCAGTAGTTACAGAGTGCTCATTCTTAAATTAACAGCACAGCGTGTAATAGGACTATTTGACCGTCTTCATGTTTTCCCACATTTAAATTCTATTCTAAACTTATTTATTTTTATGTGCTAGTTTTAGCTCTAGCACAAGTACTACCACCATTTCATAAATGCTTAGGTGACACTGTAATAGGCTATAAACATATTTTTGATTATAACAAGAGCAGATGTTAAAATAACAGAAAGACAGACACTAAAACCACAAGTACACATTCCTATGCAGTGAAAGGCAACAGGCTCACAGGACACTGCCTGTGAAGGGTCCACTGAAGGAAGTCAGGTATTTGTATTTTACTGGCCAAACTGGCGCTGCCATGTGACGGCAGCTTGACATAGTTTACCATTTACTCAAGCCCCCCAGCTCTGAAATTATGTAATTCCAGTCAACTTTTATTTTAAAAATTTGGGTGAAGCTTTATTAATACTTTTAGAACATATGCCTATTTCAATTTTACATAATTCATATTTGCATAAAACATAATTATATTTTATATAGAAGAACACATATTCAGTACGTGTTGTATTTTATATAAAAGACTATACATTTGAAATATAACAACAGATGGCTCTGGTTATCTAAAGTATTAGGAACAGGTTGGAATGCCAGTACCTAGGGTGGTAAATCTAAAACAGAAGTGATAAATGATAAAGAATTAATAAATTCACATATAGAGAAGACTCTTAGAAACAAGAGAGCGCAAGACTAAATTTAGTTTTTTTCTTAGGAGAACAGTCTGAGTAGACAAGAGCATGGTCAAAGATACATGTCTCAGGCCACACGTAACCAAGCTGATTCTCTGTAAGGGGACATATGGTATCAGGAAAATTTCAGATATACAAGGCCTTAGTGAGGATATGCTCACTAAGGGGAAGAAAAGGGAAGATAAAGGTTGCTCATCCACAAAGTATATCATATTGATGGGCAGAGAATACTAGGCACAGCCTCTAAGAAAAACCAGCAAAATAACCAAATTTACAACCATTTGAGAAGAATTCTGGTCTGGCCAGAATACACGGGTACATGGAAAACATCCTAAGGTGAGTTACTGAGGTAAGACAATAGGAATCCTTTCTTTCTTGTGACCCTATTCCAGGCCATTAAGTGATAAACAAATAAATTAAATACTATTAAAATCTGCTGGTAGATATCTATAACAAACAGTTGCTCCACTCAGCAAGAATTTAGTGTGATAGGCCAGGCGAGGTAGCTCACGCCTGTAATCCTAGCACTCTGAGAGACCGAGGCGGGCGGATTGCTTGAGGTCAGGAGTTCGAAACCAGCCTGAGCAAGAGTGAGACTCCGTCTCTACTATAAATAGAATGAAATTAATTGGCCAACTAATATATATATATAGAAAAAAAAATTAGCCGGGTGTGGTGGTGCATGCCTGTAGTCAGTCCCAGCTACATGGGATGCTGAGGCAGGAAGATTGCTTGAGCCCAGGAGTTTGAGGTTGCTGTGAGCTAGGCTGACACCCGGCACTCACTCTTGCCTGGGCAACAAAGCGAGACTCTGTCTCACCAAAAAAAAAAAAAAAAAAAAAAAAGAAAGAAAGAAAAAGAATTTAGTGTGAGTCTACCACACTCTACATACTGTGCTAGGTAGGCAGAGGGATCTTCAGGTGATTTAAACTCAGTCAATCCCCCTGCCTTCAACAAGTTGATGGCTTTATAAGAGAGCCAGCAATTTAACAAGTCATGATTGCACAAATTGCTAACTACTACAGTGGAGATTTATACACAGTGCTATAGGAATAGAAAGAACAGAGAAACTAATCCAGCCTAAAGGGGAGTGTAGAACGGAGTGAATTCTCAGAAGGAGTCTTCAAGGCTGGGTAGGGTAGAGAGGAGGATGGTGGGTGGTGCTGCAGACAGATGGAGCACCACAGAGTTGCGAATGGTCATGGCATCCTGGGCAATGGTGAGCATGGAGCTGGGGCCAAAGGGTGAGGACCTTTAATCACCATGTCAGGGATTCTGAACTTGCACCTGAGGCATAGTGGCAATTTTTAAGAATATAACATTTATTGCTTTTTTTCTGATTTCACAAGTAATGTATGTTCATTATCAAAAATAAGAAATATATTTAAAAAGAAGAGAACTAAAGAGAACTATAATCCCTTCTCCCAGAAATAACCATAGTGGGCATTTTGGGGAAACTCTTAGTCTTTTTTCCTCTTAAGAGAGTATTATTTGCATTTGTTAACAAAGTCATAATTCTGATTTGGAATTGTGGTAGAAAAACAAGATGAGACTGACACTTCAGCTCCAAACCTTACCTGGTCAGACAAACTGCTTGTTTAAAAAGGGCTCCAGACTCAGTGCTACACCTGCAATGAGAACCTTATACCTTTCTTATACTGCGCCATTCAAGTCAACCATGAAAAAAAGCCCTTCTCTATGCTCTCTTCTGAAGGATAGCAAGAAGACAAGGAAGACAAAGGTGCTATGAGTCCAAATAGCATGGGCACCCTGGCCTAATAAGGAGGGACTGTTTGTATAGCAGTAGGATCTGTATTTCCCACCTGGCCAGACTAGAGGAAGCAGCTGTTCTTTGTTGTACCTATACCTTGTCAGAAGAGAGTCCCACCTGGCAAAATGTTGGCCAGAAGGTCTAATGGGAGAAGAGGGAGTCACAGAATTTGGGATGAGTCCTAATGGGTCCAGGAAGACCACTGCTGGAATTTAAACCCCAAAAATGAAAAAAACTCATAAAAAAAATCTGTCAGAAGTCCTTAGCTGACTTCTAGGGCTGCAAATATCCCTGCCAAATGAGGCTGCATTAAAATAAGATGAAGTCTAAGACTTATTTTGGTTACCTAGAGAAGATAATGAAATACATTAATCTTCACGGTAATACAAGTTCATTATCACAATGCATGTTCTATAATCTGGGAGTATTTTTGGCCTCTGAAAGACATAATGATACCTTTCTCCTCGTTCTTTGAAATGTGTCAGTTCCCCAGAGACTGAGTCAAATTTCCAAGTAGGAAGCCTTGACAATCACCCTGCTCAATTCTCTTCCTTTTACAAATGAAGACATGAAGACCCAGAGAGGTAGTGACTTGCCCAAGGTCACAAACCTAAAAGCAATGAGAACTTGGAGAATTCTTATCATATCAAACCATTCTACAAAAAAACAAAACAAAAACAAAAACTAATGTTTTTTTCTTAGTGAAACAAAGTAAAGGAAATGAAAAATGTCTTTTCCAGTCATTTCCTGAAAGAATGAGCACCTTATTCTAGTTATAGAAACACCACAGATCTAATTTCATACAAGTAACTCAGAAACTTGCTACGAGGTATTTAGCAAGATATTTAGATATACATAAATGATACACATAAATGGGAAAAGAATGGGTAATCCAATATATGCTTCTAAGACAACTGATTTTTTAACTAGGAATAATAAAATTATATCCCTAGTTTATACCATTCTCAAAAATAAATTCTAGGAAGATTGAAGACAAAATATGAAAAGCACACCTATAAAACTTTGAGAAGAAAATATCAGAGAACATCTTTGTGACCCCAAGAGAGAAAGGGATTTCTTAAACAAGATATTAAAAGTGCAAACCATAAAAGAAAAGAATGACATGTCTGATCATATAAAAACTTGAAACTCCTGTATACCAAGATATCATAAAGAAAGAGATAAGGCATGGACTGAAAGGAGATACTGACAACTCATAACTGAAAAATATTAATATCTAGAAAACAAAAAGAACTCTATGAATCAATAAAGAAAAGAAAACCTAAGAGAAAATTGGTCAAAGTATTTGAACAGGCAATTTGCTGAGGAAGAAATCAAACTGCCAATGAAAATATGAAAGGCTGTTCAACGTTACTAGTAATCTAAGAACACAGAGTCTGGCAATGTTCTATCATTTTATAACCATCAGGCGCAAACTTAAAAGTCTGACAATGACAAATATTAACAAGAATGTGGAGCACTGGAAACTCTCACCATTCTGCTGGTAATTACAGACTTTGGAGAGCAATTTGGCAGTATCTAGTAATGTGGTTCAGCCATTCCAATTCTATTAT